GGTGCAGGCTGAGAAAACGAGTCCCGTCACATTAAATTTGGGTCAGAGACGGGGGAAGAGGCGGTGGAGCAGAGAGTGTTACAGACAGCTGGAAGATTCATCATTTGCTCCTCCTTCAACACCTGCACATCTCACAGAGAGGGCAGAGGTACTGCACCAGAATGAAGTAATTGGTGAATAAATAGTGAATTAGCAAAAGTGAAAGCAGTAGTAGCAGGAAAAAAGAGAAGGAAATGTATGTTGCAGGAAACAATTTTAACCAGTTTTTGGATAAGAATGATACTTGGCTGTTATATTGTCAGATTGATACAAGAATTTAATTCTTCATCGCATCAGAATCTTCAATTATTGCTGAACATTAAAATAATATTGTTATTGTTTGTTAGCAAACTCTTCAAAAATACAAACATATAAATACATCAAACTCAGTCAGTTTGAATGATATTGAGCTATTATGGTGGTTTTAGCTAAAAGTGAGTCACAACATATAATCCCTGAAAAACTATTCATTTATTGCTGCCATAAACCAAATCATGGTCAAAAATATTTCTCTACAAAAACAATCTTTCTTCAACATTAAATTGAAATCAAATTTCTTAATAGCAAGACCAGTTAAATATTTTTTTGGTAAAATATGTGATTGCTTAAATCTTCATTCCCTTTAAAGTGACTTCAATTCAAAGAAAAAGTTACTGAAAAGTAAAAAGTTAGGATTAATACAAAATAATTTTTAGGACCCCAAACATCAGAGGAGTTCAGTTTAATCCATCAACAAGAAAGAAGAGAAATACGAGAATGTGTAAATCTACACTGAGCAGGTCATCCTCAAAATTTCTCTTTTAAGAAACATCTTAAGACATTTTTATTCAGACAAGCTTTTAGTTAAATGCTTTTTATTGTGTTTTAATTGTTGTTTTTATATCTGTGATCTGTTTTATTGTTTTTAATTAGTTTTTGCTTTCTCTGAAGCACTTTGTGATGTTTGTGTCTGTGAAAGGTGCTATAGATATAAAGTTTAATTACTTACTTACTTACTTACTTACTCAAAAAAACAAACAAAAAAATGTGTCTGTGAAAGGTGCTATAGAAATAAAGTTTAATTACTTACTTACTTACTTACTTACTTACTTACTTACTCAAAAAAACAAACAAAAAAATGTGTCTGTGAAA